ATAATATATAAAATATTCTAAATTTCTAATTTTCTATAAAAATCTACTATCTTTATAGTTACTATAGTAGTACTATAAATCTTTAATTCTTTACTATTTACTCTATCTACTAATAGCTTAGATAGAAAGTAAACTAGTAAGCTTTACTTTATAGTAAGTAACGCTAAAATAAGATTTAACTAGAAATCTCTATCTACTAGAGCTTTAATAGGCTCTAATTAGCTAAGTAATACCTTTACTATTAGTAGCTTTACTAGCTTAGAGTAAAGCGCGTTATAAAAGAGTTCTAAGTTCTAGAATACTAGGTCTAGAGTAATATAAGTAGCTAAGAAGAACTCTAGCTTCTTTATTTACTACTTTTTTCTAATTCTTAACTAGATAAGCTCTTAAAGTCTCTTTTAGACTTTAAATAGTCTCTTTAGAAGTATTTAGTTTTATTATACTTTTAATAAGCTATATTAGAATTTTTTAAACTATTTTAGTTTAATTTAGCTAGTTATAAGTTAGATTTTACTAAACTAAACTTCTTAGCTTTTTTCTAAGTCTAAAAAAGCTCTAAAAAAGAGTTCTAAGTCTAATAGCTATAAAATTTCTTCTTATAAGCTAGATACTCTAGAAGTATAGTAGTACGCTTTATCTTACTCTAATAGTAGTAAGCTAAGGTATTAAGCTTAGAGACTATATTATAGTTCTCTAAGTCTTAAAGTAGAAGTTCTTTCTAAATATTAGAAAGAAGCGCGCTTATAAAGTTTATATAGCGCTACTCTTTTTTATAGTTACTTAGTTTACTCTAAAGTATATTAAGATAGGCTAAAAGAGAGTTAGAATTTTAGTCTAGCTTTTATTTAGCTTACTTAAGCCTATTATAAGCTATAAGATATTATAATAACTTAGAACTAAGCGTATTAAGTATAACTATTTTAAGTTTCTTCTAGATAGATATCTAGAACGCCTTAAGCCTTATATAGTTCTAGAAGTAAGTATTCTAAGTAGAGTAAGTAGTTTTATTAAGAAACTTTACTATAAAGTCTACCTTTTAGGTGTCTAATAGAAAAGTAAAGAGTACTTCTCTAAAAATAGTTTTATAATTACGTATTTAGTAGTTATACTATAAGTAATTACGCGTAGTAAATATCTCTAGGTTCTTAGAGTATAAAGTCTCTAGGTTTAACTAGAGCTTACCTCTTTAGGTTAAAGTATAGTAAATAATATTTTTATTAAAAGCTAATTAGTTACTTATAAGTACTTTACGCTTTAGTTCTCTAAGATAAGCTATATTTTAATAAGTATACTCTAATTATTTTTACTTATATAACTTCTTAAGTTTATAAGTTAGAGTAGCTTATTTATCTTTATTTTTAGTAGTAGTAGACTATAAAAGTCTAGTTAGCTCTAAAATAGGCTTAATTAGCGCGTTACTATTTCTAATAATTAAGGCTAAGTTAGTAATACCTAAAAAGGCCTCTAATAAATTTATAAGTTTCTTAGTAGGTAGTATTACTACCTCTAAAGATAGAGAAGCTGATTTTTTCTAGTTATTATCTATTACGCGTAAAAATAAAGTAGCTTACTTACTACTACATTATATTACGCTAGAAAAACCTACTTTAGAGCTTATTACGTCTAAATAGTATATATAAGAGTATTATAGAGTAGAGTAATTTAAATATTAAATAATAGAGTTAGTTAAATACTAGATATATAATATTAGACTATAATTAGATATATTATTCTAAAAAGACTAGAGATAAATTGCTACTAAGCTATAGTAGTAGTTCTAAGGTATTTATACCTAAGGCTAAGTTAGTCTAGACTCTTATAGGCTAGAACCTAACAATAATAAAGTAGTAATAAGTAAATTCTAGCTTTACTATTTTTTTTTTACTATAGTAAACTTTATAAAAAATAAAAGTATTATTAAGATATTAAATAGTAGTAATATACTATAAAAGCTAAGTCTAGTAGCTAAGTTAATAGTAAGTATATTAAAGGCTATAGTTATATATATATAGTATACTTAAGAAGTAGCACCTATAGTAGTTACTTTTTTATTACTTTTTTTTTTTTAACTTATACTTATATATAATTTTATCTTTTAGTTCTATTTACTTTATTTTATAGTACTATAGTAATGTAAAGTAAAATAAGCTACTTATAACTTCTATAATATTAATAACTTTAATAAAAAGATACTCTTATAAATAAGAGAAATCGCAAGTATAATACACTGCTATCTTATGTTGGCCCGCTAGATATTTAGAGACTGCAAGAGTCGAGTCTGCATTAGTTGACACCTCGTCGAATATTACAAGTGCTGAAATCGTGGTATCTGCTCAATGGCTTTAATCAGCTTCGAGGAATGGAGCGTTCACTATTCAGTATACTATGAAGTTCAACGCTGCAAATAAACTCACATCGTAGTCTTAGAATATAGAGGGACCCTGACACAGAATGTATGAAGTCTTATCAACGGTTGGAGGACGAACAGAGCATGGACAAGCGCATCAAGAGCTAAGGTGATTGTGACTCATTGCTGTTTGACCGCACTGGAGTAAATGCTATCGCGAATGCGCGTCCACTAGGGGGCTTTTTGCCTCGTCGCGAACTAGAAGCTTCTTCCCATATAATGCTGGCCATTTACTGCCCCGAAAGGTAGCAGAGTAAATTCGTCAACTCTTCTACATTGCATTCGATAACAGCATGGCGGATATGTGGCACACCATCAAAACGTGAAACGAAACTATGCGCTACCACACAACCAGCAAAAGGGAGAAGTATGTAACACCGAACTCCGACGTATCGTGGTGACGAATAACAGTAAGAGATCTGGTAACACCATATCAAAGTTACAGCCGGAACGCAGGAAATAGCAGGTAACATTGCTTGCCGTGGGGTTCAAAAACTATACGTAACAGCATAGAGCGCAACAAAGACTCACGCTGAGTTTGGCGGTAAAGGGAAACATGAAATACCGTATCAGAAGAAATACAACGAGAAAACAATGCAAGCGCTTGGCAGAGCGCACAGTAAGCTATCATACACTTCCATATCAGACTGCAGTGACAAGACGATATGAGGTGAGTAGATTGAGTGGGAAAGGAGATCAACCCACCACAGCAGGCGCTGAGTAGATATCTTCCCATGACCATGCGTTTGATCCACGCCGGTTGAGGAGAATCTTGGGCTGAAGGCGCTCACCAAGACCTATGATAATGGCTTCCATGTTGTCTGTGGCCCTTGGGTGTTGATCCGGATCTTCATCCGACTTCAAGTTTGCCATCAGTTGGCGAGCGAGGTCGACAGAGACGCGTCCACTGGTGATGAGGAAACGAAGCTTTCTCCACGGTAGATAGTGTTCCCATCTACAAGCTGCACCAAGTGGGCACCTGTCTGGAGTACCGAATGTATACCAACACAGTCCAAACTGGTTCGACTTGCTGCAGAGGTAGAGTTCTGCCCAAAGCATCCCGTAGTTCCGCGATCCGTCTTCGTTATCGGGATAGATATGATGGCGCCGTAGTCGTCGATGACAAGTCTTCCAGGGCATAGGGTCGAAGAATCTGTTGCAGGGAGGAGGTATCGTGGGAACCTCCCCTTCCGGCACGGTGGATTTGTCTGCGACCTTCTTCGCGCGAGCTAGAGCCGCCATCCAAGCCTCCCAGTTCAGGACTGCTAAGGATGTACCCTCCGTATCGAGAAGGCTTCCAAAAGAGACAGTCGAAAGATCCGGTGCAGCAATGTCAGTTGGGGAAACGATGTCAGTCTTCGTCGGCGAGGAGTCGTCATAGCCTCTCTCTGGCGAAGACGTCCGGGATACATCGCAGCTTGATTGATCATCTTCGTCAAAGCAAAATTGCCGAGAAGAACCGCGGCTTGAAGATTCTGACGGACTCTGAGCCATATGTCTTTGGGGAGATTTAGGCGCGCACTGTGCAGGCGCTATTGTTGTGGCGTCATACTGTGGTAGAGGCTGAGGAGGTACGTGATCTGGCACACTGTGCGAAGGAAGGGGATTTATCTGCGGCTGCGGAGGATAAGTTGGCTGAGGCAGTGGGCCGTATTGTTGTTGCAATGGAAAGCATGTCTGCTGCGGTTGATGATACTGTTGGTGCGGTGCGAATGCTTGCGGCTGTGGGTGATGCCACTGAGGTGGATACCACTGAGGCGGATGCGCAGCATAGTGCACTTGTTGTACTGGATATTGTTGTACTTGGGGAGTATACTGTGGAGGCGGAGCAAAAGGCTGTTGCGGGGGACAGTATTGGGGCTGTTGATATGGATACTGTGGAGGAGGCGGTGGTAGCTGTTGATTCGGTACAACTGCGTAGTTCGCAGGTGGATATTGAGGTGGTGGCCCATTGGGATACGGGTACCAATGCTGAGGATTGGGACTCATGTATGGATACATCTACTATATGTCAGTAAAGTTTTTCATGGATTCCAACTCTTCACTCACCTTTTGATCACTGGAGACAACTCCGAGTAGAACTCACATCGCGGGGCAGCAAAGTAGGAAGGCGCGGACTGTGCGCTTAGCGTCGCACGCAATCACGTGATCGCCGTGTTCATGGCAACGGGTGGGATAATTTGGAGGGTTCGGTTTGTGCGCCAAGCGAGCTAGTCAATGCTACCTTGCTGAATGCGACGAGGAGTTGTACTTATCGTCGCCATCAAGCTTTCGCTCTGCGCCAGACAGGATGGCTTTCCCGCGATCTCCTCTCCCGGAGCAAAGCTTAGCATTCAATGACTTCGAGTTGGATGCGTTATACGGTCCTCTCGAAGCTGCACTTGATGAATCAGATCGCGAGCTTATGCCTTTCATCAAGGCGGAACCGCTTTCGGACACTGACATGAAAGCGACCATTGCTCCTCAGGCCGATCAGGCTCACTAATACGAGTACAGTGACGACTACCCCGATTCACACGAACGAGATCCTCCAAAGCAGTCCGTCCCGGACAAAGACCACCTTGCGCGCTTCGAACACTTCATCACTACGGCAATGTTCAGAGCCGCAAAAGCCACGGGCACCGACTACTTTGGATGGGACGAGCGCAAGGCCCTTGAGGCGATCGTCAAAGCCGTCGCGATCTATCCACGCCTTACCTTGGACTTCGTCGCGAAGGATTACTTGAGCGCCAAGCGCAACTTGAGGAAGAAGAAATGGTCCTTGACGAAGCGCAACAGGTTGGTCCTACGGATGTATGGCGACGACGACATCGCGGCCTTGGCCATCTACAATCAGATCAAACCGAGACACAGACAACGCATACTGGCTGAGATTCGCCATCGGGAGCGCCAGAAGAAAGCGTTGGCTGGTGGGTTTCAGGATAAGGAGGGTATGTGAAGGGGGAGCACGAGAGGGCAAGGTCTTTGTCGAAGCGTTGGTTTGACACAAGACCTGCTATTTGCTTGCTGAGTGGAGCTTGAAGGAGGGATGTTATGGAAGTGTGGAGACATAGCGTCGAGTTGAAGTAAACATGTAGCTTCTGGGATGACAGGAAGTGGGAGGAACAGGACGGATCCGGCATGTGGTATTGATGGTCATGGAGTTCCACTACTTGGTGTGGAGCATGTATGCTAGCACATTTCTTGCCGCTCTTGCATATGAACTCGTCCCGGCCGCACGTTCGTCCCTCATCGCGAAATCGCATCTCATGTCCTGCAACGCGTGCCTTCCACTGAGCCATGTAGTCAATTCAAATCCCGAACGCAGCTTCAGCGCTATGTCACGCGTGTCATCCCGACTTCCAAACTTCGATCTAGTGCGCGCTGTCACGTCTAGGCAAGAGTGAACATCTTGCCCGTCCACCCATACTCTCTTTCCAGCCGTCTGCCATATCGCCTCGCCCATGTCAAAGGAAGTTTGCTGAGCGCGCCGTGGGGAGCATGAAACTGGATCGCACGCTCTGTATCCAAGGTTGGTGTAAATCTCCATGCAGACCCATGAAGTTTCTCTGCTTGGAAGCCGCGCTGCACCAAAGCGTGAACGAAGTCCTTCCAGGAGACTTCGCCTGGTACGTCTCGTGCGGAAGGAGAGAAGAACAAGGTCTTGAAAACGAGATAAGAGCGCTTGTCGAGCTTGATCTTTGGCTTTGAGGAGTGTACGACCTCGTCAGTCTGACGTTGATGGCTACCAGTCAGACTGATTGAGTTGCCGATGCCACGAGTCTTGATCTTCTCCTTGATAGAGGGCAAGGGCCTGTTGGGCTCGCCACTAGCGTTGAGCGGGTTAATAATGTGTTCGGGAGGTATCTCTTCATCGTGCAGTGGGAAAGGCTCGCTCCATGGTGCAGTACGGTGAACAGCGCGTCCAGCATCTCTGTGCTGCAACAACAGCCTGGGAAAGCTTTTTCCAGTCAAGTTCTCACAGAAGGAGTCCGCAGCCGACCAAAAGGAGTCTAGACTGGCCTCTGCCAGGCGCATCAAATCCGTTGTCTTATGGCCCTGTCTCTCAGTGGAAGGATAGTAGAACTTGCCGTCCGAAGGATCTCCCTTAAGCGCTAAAGCGACATCGTCGAAACGTCTCAGATGTGCTATAGGCTCCCACTTGAGTCCAAAATGTCGGAACCACGACATGAGCTGTGGCCTAAGATGTTCCACGTCATTCTGAATCCTCGTTGCCCAAGGTTGATACGATCGAATCTGCTGGATGCACTCGGAGGAGACAGACAGCTGAGAAAACTCTGACCACACGAAAGACGACATCAGACCTTTGACAACCGGTTCCCTGGTCGCCATCCTCTCTAGATCATCCAGCTCGGCGACAAAGCCAACGGTAGGCGGTGAAAACGGTTCTATATTCTGAGTAAGACTTCGAGGAAGCGAAGCATTGTAGAGTCGCCGTTCGCTCGGACGATGCTAATTTCGCAACGATATGCGACACTGCCCAGATCGGTGTAGGTCTTGACAAGATAAGGTTTCATACTCGGAGCTCCAAGGAGACTCTGCCGGAAGGTTTCGTGCTTGTCTGTGTGTAGCACATGAAGCATTGTCCATAATAAGAGGAAGTTGATATGATACTCTTCGGGTAGGTCTTGGTCATGAGGGAAGTTAAAGTTCCTTTCGATAGCCGTGGAGCGCAACGAAGTTACAAGACGCAGGCACTTTTGCCAGTAAAAGAGCGGTAAGTAGGCCCCAAGGACGACCTCGCGGATGATAGCGCCGGTCATCACGTGGGGTGGCTGTTCCAGTATGCCGGCCACGTTGCGCTCCGTAGATTGGATAAACTCGGATCGATGTGCCTTATAGTCATTGAAAATTTCCGTGAAGTAGCCTGGGTCTTCTCGAAGCGCCCAGGCATGATCTTCGAGTTCACTAACCTTGGAGCTGACCAAGCTACGTAGGCGGTCGAAGTCCAGCTGTCGGGGATTGCCGTACGGAGTCATCAGCGAGACTTCCGCCTGGTTGGCATAGTTAGTAGACTTGTCAACTGCACAGGCTACTGGTGGGATGATGGGATATCCTTCCGGTCGCCCTTTCTCATCGGCCAAGAGATCGCCGATCAAGAGGTGACAGCATCGCTTTAAAAATGTGTAGATGATCTCCTGTGTGCGAAGTATTTGGAGTCCATGTCCTGGATGCACTCCTCGCCCACTGTAGATCGCCGATCGAGCATCTCGCCGGTCTGTCCAGTGCTTCATCTGACCATAGTCGTTTCGAGTATTGCGTCCAACGAAGATCATTGTGTAGTTCGGAAGATACTGACGGAGGCAGGAGTCGGGCCACCGAGCGATTGGGCAGTTAAGGAGTTCCGTTTGACTGAAGGATTCGATTGGAGCGCGAGCGCGTGAGTTAAGGAACGTAAGAAGGGTCCCCGGTTGTAGAAGATCCTATAAGTTCAGAAAAGGCACTAAGCATGATGTACTGTTCCGTGCCATACATACTTCAGGCGTGAGGACTCGTTGTTCGTCTACGTATCCGGTCGGCACAGCAAGATCGGCCGCAATGTCCGGGCGATGACCGCTTGCCATATCTGGCCATGCGGTAAGTAGAACCTTTCTCTTCTTTGCGGTACTTTTCTTGCCCCATCTCTTTCGAATCGTATCTTCGTGCCGTTCAAGTATATAGCGCACCTCTTCAAAGGCCGTGAATGTACCGTTCACATGAGAATGAGCTAGACGCTCTACTTCCTCAAGAGAAGGGAAGTAATGGATCGCTGGGTAAAACAGGAGGAAATGATATAATTTTGTCCCTCCGAGAGGGTTATCCGCGAACTTGTCGAGAATGACTTCGCTAGACGATCGCTCAGGGATAAGAACCGCCTCTGGCGCTTGAGGCCCGTTCGAGCGGTTGCGGCGCGGCATCTCCAATGTCCAAAAGGCGACTTGATGTGTTGCTGAGGGTGATCTGGACTGAGAGAGACAGACGAAGGAGGTTTTGCTCAGACAGTCAAGGTAAAGGTAGAAGAGGCGCGGCAAGTCTAGCCCAATGAGGAAGGCCTTGGTGCGTCATTCGCCAGTGACTTCGGATACGTACTCAAAGCGGGGACGAAGCAAATGAGCAGTATGGATGCGGACATTGGCTGGAACAACGCTGACGCTGAGAGAGATATTGTGCGGTCCAGACTCTTGGTGAGCGTAGCACATGGGACATGTCTCGAGAGAAGCGCAGGTGTCCATGTGATGTCGGATCCATGTTTGAAAATCTGTATAATGGTGACAGGCGAGCCGTCATTATGCGCGGCCTCGTAGACGCAATACCAAGATCCTTTCGAAAGATCATATGTCGGTATTGCTGTATTCGCCGACAGTGACCACGAAGCTTTTCGATATACATCGAAGTAATGCCTGACACAGCCTCGTTTTGCTGTGGCTGTCGCCCCACCCGTCGCAATATGATCTCCTTGATGTGGCCTTTGTCAGGCTCTCGTCGCGACCCAATCTTGGTGACGGAAGTGCGGCGGCTTCGTTCGAGCGCTCCACCAGTATGCTGACCTGCATCGTCTCGAAGTTGATCAGATAGTGAAAGAGACAAGTCGTAATTCTCTGCGCGTGACGCTAAGTCGTGATAAAAATATACCGCGCCATAGTCGGACATTGCCTAACACCTCCCACTCACCCTCTCCCACACCGTTCGCATCGAACGCCACCCACACTTCATCTTTCCACACTCAAGCCACAACATCTTTCGTCGAGTATCGACGCGATGTCGGAACAACGCGACACCGCTTCTGTATATGACCACCGCGATAGAGCTCCCGACTCGCGACGGAAAGAGCCTGCGATAACAGCAAGGCGGACAGAAGATGGCGTAGAATGTAAGTATACGCGTACGTCATACTTTTGTGTGACCGACGCCGACGTCCTGAGGTAGCGCGATAGACTTCAAGCAGCCTGCGGTGGCTGCATATGACTGCGCGACGACCTCATATACGCCAGTGTCACTTGTATTCCTTCTCTTGATCCGTTGAGCTGACATTGTATTCCCAGACGACCTTCCAACCGAACGCGACGATCAACCAGTCACACATGAATCTGGCGATGGCGCCGGAGAAGCGAGCACCTCTGTTCAGGAGTTCGCGCATCAGTCTGAGGTCATCCGCTCCCTACAAGCTGAGAACAGGCGCCTAGCCGAAGCGATCGAACAAGCTCGCATTGAGCTGATTGCGAAAGATGCTCGGATTGCGGAATTGACTGCTGGCGGCGATTCTACGGGCGCGAAGGGGCCCAGGTCGTGAGGAGTGGTCGCTCACGGCGATGGATCGGAGGATGGGTGGTACCTGAGGCGATGTGCCGTCGCTTTCGCGAGTTAGATAGCTGCAACGTAGATCCTCGCGACAACCTTCCTGGAGCGCAATCAAACATCTACTGCAGCACTACCAGACATCCATGTTCCATGACGCTGATCAAGGTACACGAGCATGATACCTCTGCTAAACCTCCTGTACTTCGAAACAAGTATCTGCGTGTTGTAGCAATCGATACAGCAAAAAGGTAATAGGCTTGTACAGCGCGTCAGGACGTGGAGCGGCTTGACAGTTCAGGGAAATGCTAGAGAGTCCTTAGTCCGCGCGCCTAAGGATGGAATGCGAAAGTCTGGTGAAGGCGGCCGCGCAAAAAAGAAAAGGAAAAAGGGCAAAAAGAAGGAATCGTGCGCTGATAGATGCTCGCCCAATGAGCGACCGTCAGTTGCGGTCACCCACCCAGCTACGGATCCGTTGGAGCAAGCTGGTAAAGCCCAGATGGGCCAGTCCCAGAAGGTGTTACATGTCCGTTGTCACACGATGGGAAACACTAGAAATATTAGCAATACAACGTGAGTGTAACGTGAATTGCTGGTATCGTGGGCCTTTGACAATTTAGGCGACGATCGAGAGATTCACGTGAACCTGCGGCGCCAGGATAGGCTTGATGCGCAAACCGAACCATGATCGAGCTGCAGTCGTCACCAGCCACCTGCCACCAACTCATTCGGAGTTCATGTAATCGTTGCCGCTATTAGTGTAAAGTCTGTTGGGAGAATGAGATCAGGAGATGATGTTGACGTGCGTGGTTGTAGAGATGTGTGGCTGCTGCGATTCGTTGCGATGCACGGCTGGGCGAGCGTGTGGAAAGAATGATGAAGACGCGTCGTCGCAAGATCGGGGATGGAGGTTTGCCGCTAGATTAGTCATCCCACCTCCACTTTCGCAATTCGCCGCACCGGCGCGCCTCACGACATCACATCCCCATGTCAATAGAGATCACCCAGAAGCCTACATAGCCTCGGGAACCATCAAATTCTCATCTCTGCACCAATGTAGCCGCCAGAGTACTCTTCTGTATAGCGTGTTCCATCATGGACATGATCATTCTGCAAAGCGACCCAGTCTGGCCTGGATACGTTCATCTCGCAACATATACATACACATCTTTTCACGATCATCGCCAACCCAATCACGCGCAGTGTCTCGCAAGTAAGACCACTCGCTAACGGTCTAGTATGCGCCACCGCTGTTAGCAGCTTGGGCGTGCAGCTGCTCGAGCTCCGCCCTAAGCTTCCGAATCTCGCGATCCTTCACAACTGCCTGCATCCTCAAGTTCAGAATCTCGACCTCCTGCTCTTGAAGCTTCTTCTCGTTATCCGGTACATCCTTGTTTTCGGTGGTGACATCGGGCTGTGTGGCTGTTGATCGCGTTGGCGCACTCAAGGAGCTGCGACCTTGAAGACGCGGATCAAGGGTGCGGTCCACCAATGTCATCGGCATGGTGTATGTCATCGGCGCCGGAAGTGGTTGCTGAGGAGGCGCGGTGTCCACGAGAGAAGGCCCGCTTCGGGAATGGCCAGCTTGAGATGGCTTGGTTGAGCGACGCGGCTTATCTTCTTCAAACATATTCCGTGTCATCGCCTTCGGGCGTGACTTGTCTTTGTAGTAGGCCTGCACGATCGGGTGCCTGGTATCCACGAGTATAGAGTGATTGAAACCGCGTGCTTGAGTCACGACACCAATGCGACGAAGAATTGCAAGTTCGTGTTTGTCAGGGCGGATCTGTCGATCTCGAACGGTCTCTGGACTACATGGGATTTTCTGCTGGTCATACCAATCTGTGTTACAGTAGAACAGTGAACAGCTCTACCAGTACTATTAGTATCGATGCTAAGAAACATGCTGGGCTTTGCAGAAGTGCATCGGGGACAATGCTTACCTCGTCGGGGTGGCGACGGGTCCGGCAGACCTTGCATACCTTGCCGCAAGACGTGGTCGAGTAGCCTGCGGCGGGGTGGCAGGTCCAACAGATCATGCAGGGCGCGTATTTGAAGAATACCGCGCCAAAGATGGGAATGAGAGAGTTCTGGTCGTAGTAGAGTCCTGCAGGTGGGAGGTATCGCTCGATCGGATACATGAGACCAGCAGGTAGTCTCATCGGCAAAGGCGAAGAAGGCGTAGCAGCGATGTTGCCGGGAAAGGACGGGAGCGACTCCAGGAATGTTTCTGCAGCGTCGGAGTGAGGGAATTCGTCCTTGATACGAACTGGCTGAACGTTGGCGCCAGTTGGTTTCCAGCGCACGGCGACTTTCGACTCCGGCTCGGGCTGTTCTGCTATATGTCAGGAGGGTTTAGAACAGTTACAAGAGACACTTACCTTCAGACTCCATCAACTTGCGGCGCGCATCGTGTATCAACTGCTCGGGCGTTGCAGACTTTCGCGGCTGACGCATCTCACCTCCATCGATCGCAGAAGCTTCAGGCGTAGGTGTACGTAGCGGTGGCTTCGGGGCGTACAAGGCCTGCATTAGGTATAGGTTAGCCATGGCAATGTGTTGGGGTAGTTAGAGGCTGCGGTCATGGGTATCTCGAGTGTTTGGGTGTTTGTTGACAACAACACGTCTGAGCTTGGCGTGTTGCTCCTACCCACGTACCTAACCGAGTAGGCACGACTGTGACCCGGAAGCACGTGGCTGTGACATCATATCCCGCAGTCTCTTACCAATACTGTTGCAACCTCTATTTCGACGCCATATTGGCTGTGCATGAAGGGCAAGAACATTAGAGAAACGTGTCACATTGAACCGAATAGAAAAGTTTCAGAAAGTGGACAAAAGCCCAACAAAGAAGAGAATGCGAACTCCAAGTCACGGATTGGAATCAAGTACAACGATCGCAAGAAGCACTATGAAGCGGAAGGAGAGCCACGAGAGATTGTGGGTAAGACTTTCACGTACGGTGAGGACGTATATCGGACGCCTGATGAACCAAAGATAATACCTTCTCACACCTGACTTTCGAACCATAGCCTCTGATCCACCACAGTCGCATGTATCGTACCATCCAATGCGCAATCCATTTACTGGCATCTAGTCCAAAGACCATCCAAGCTGGGCCCTCAGCGTCCTGATCATCCTATCCTTATCCTTGCTCTCAGCAATGTATTGAAGCTCTCGCTGGTCGCGCTCATGCAGCAGCTTCTCGTAGTGCAATTGTAGGCTAGCCGTAGGGGACAGAGCAGGATAGCGGGGATTCTCCGATGAGGATGAAGAAGGTATGGTGATGGCGTTGGCAGGAGGGATGATCTGGAGCTGCATGTTGTTGTCTGACTGAGCTTGTGGATGAAGCCAAAGACCTGGGATCGACGTTGGCGGATGGGAAGAAGGCTCTTCGGTGACTTGGCGGATGGCTCTAGCGAGAGGAGAACCGATGAAGGGCAGATCGTGTGCTTGAAGATTGGGAACACAGATTTCGGCGCCGTTGACGGGAACTGCTACCGCCTCATTGAGGTTGGGCTTGACTGTCATAGCGGCGCTCCTCATCCCGTTCTCGTGGGTCCAGATGATGGGCGTGCGGACACGGATGCGATGACTGTGTTGTATGGTATGGCCGGCGTAGTAATCCTTGACATCAGCGTTGTCCATGTTCGGCAAGACGTCCATAGAGATATGAGACATGGTCTGTATGATCCCGAGGCCATGAAGGTCTGCAACCTGGTTCATTCCGGGACGTAGCGCGATCATGTCATTCGAGTCTGGAGTACATCCGTGGTCTTTGCGCCACTTATACGAGCAGTAGGCCATAGCGCAGAGCTAGGATGAGTTAGTGATGAGATCTCTATGGCAGCGAAGACAACTTACCCCCTTCGCGTGCTGGTCCTTACATCCGCACATGCCACACGCGTTCGCACATCCGGTTGGATCTCCAGAAGACCCGCACCCAGGCTGTAGACAGTGACTACAAAGATCCCTTCTTGGTACGTCCGGGCCGAATAGTGCGATGATGTCGAATTGGTCGTAGCAGGCACCGGCCGGTGGTAGGAACTGCGTGGGCGGGCGGCCTCTGAGACTGCTCAGCGACATGACAGCGAGAAGAACTACGAGACAACATTAACATATGCAATTCGCGACATGGGTAAGGCGGGGAGATATAACGTACTGACAGGAGGATATTGGTGGGCGATGGAGGCCTCGAAGTACAACAGGGAAGTGCAAAGTCGTTCACGCAAAGGTTGTTTGTTTGGTTCGCGGCGGGATCCCCTCGCACTTATAGAAGAGACACCTATAGCCACAGCTCACCGGATGGAGGCTTGCGACGTCTAGATTCCCGATCGTGAAGAGCTTGGTTTCGAATCTGCCCTCTCCCAGTCGGCCGTGTAGTCCTCGTCAGCTCGTGCGGTAAGCTGATGCTTTGCGCGTGAAGTCAGATCAAGTCAACACAGGTAGCGAGAGAAAAGGTGGGAGAGGACGGCGGAGTTGATATAAACAGAGAAGTGCGCTAGTACACGCTAGCGCAGGCGCTCACTCAGCAGGCACGTGAGTATAGCACTCAGTCACCGACGCGTCGTCGCCTTCACTGCGCCTTTCCTGACGTAGTCGCGATATCCGAGCCCCTAATAACACCGCAACCATCTTGGAGGACACCAAAGCTTTGGCATGGAGCCAGGTTGTGTTGATACCGATAGGATGGAGTACGATGGGGAGGAGACTGCTGTCCATGTAAGTCTTCCACTGACACCTCGTCGTACCATAACAACAACACTGACCAAAACACAGCAGCAACACATACAAATCACCTCCTCTGGTCATGCGAGCCTCCAGGATCCCAAGCGCACCATCAGTCTCGCATTTCGTCCCGCATGTCACGAGGATGGCGTGAATCAGGTGAACGACTGGTTGAATTCGATCAGCAGCGCCAGCAACGATCCATACTTAGCAGCCGATACTTTCCCTGTTCCACAATACCCCGCTACACCCTCCATGTTCCAACCAGATTCTTCAACTCCCGCACCCGGTTGCGAACGCATCACCAAGGAGGCGTTTGAGCTTGTTTTGGAGCAAAATGCGAGATTGAGGCAGGAGCTGAAGTTGGTGAAGGAGGCTCGCGCAAAGGCGGAAAAGACGTGCTCCGATCTGGCGGCTTGGACTTTGTGGGAGCGAGATAGGTTGATGCGCGAGTTGGAGGAGGCCAGAGCGATACATCGTGCTTTCATCCAGGATGAGGTCGACAAGCTCATCGCCGAAGAGACAGGCCGTCTTCCTATGGACCAGTAAGGGGATGGTGATTGTGCTCGAAGTTGACGCATTGTGGTTGGCATCCGCGAAGTACCTATGAGCTATGTTATCGACGTGTATATGCCAGATGGCCTTCCATGGATCGCACCTGTTCCCAAAGAGATGCGATGACGGCATGCACGTTGTAGCTTAACCATATATTTGATTTTCTTGACATGAGGAGTGACGTGAAGTCTTGCTCGCTGCTTCCCGATTCGGACTCACGCTGGAACGACTTGCGCTTTCACCGCGCTGTAGCGCCGTCGTAGAAATGACAGTGCTGGCCGCATTGACGACATGGCGGGAGTTTTCTTGAAGATATTGTTGTTCACGACGCTGCGAGCTGCACGCGCCCCTACAGGAGCGAGACCTGTCCCGCGATATCAGCCAGAGACTGAGTACGAGGCATCCAACGAAGTTGAAGAGGAAGACGCGACGACAAAAGCGCACGAAGATTCCGAAGACGAGTTTGACGACGATGTCGAGCCTGTGCCGGCAGCGGAAGATGCTGGCGACAACGCGGATCCACTACGAACTTCGTCCTCAGACCACGACCTCCGCGCGACATGGACTGCTAGCATCAACAACCTCTGGAGACGCGCCGCCGATAACGCCACCATTCTGGCCGCACAAGCTAGAGACGCTGCATTTGATGCTGTCGAGATGGTCAAAGAGCTTGGGTTCATTGGCACAGCAAAGGCAATCGGCCACTGGATCAGACTGAATCCGTTGAAGACTGCGCTGATCGTGGTGCCTCTCGTTGCGCTTGCATGCACAGCGATAGCGCTCTCGGCCACGGGCTTTGGACCAGCTGGGATCGTCGCAGGTGCGTGATCTCGGAGACTATATCCTGAACATCGAATACTGACTTCTTCTAGGCAGCGCAGCCGCGGCCATGCATGCGGGTATTGGCAGCGTTGTCGCGGGTTCGGTCTTCGCAACGTGCACCAGTGCGATGATGGGCGGGTACGGCGCAGTAATTATATTCGGAGGTGTCTGGACTATTTTTTTTTTTATTTAGAGTCTGTTGGTTTTTGCTGATAAGAGCATGTTTCCATCCCGTGTTACTTCAGTTATAATAGCCGTAATTGAGACTTTACCCTGTCTCTTTGATCAATGACAAAGTGTCTGGACTATATCGACTGCGTTGGTAGTCTTAGTCGCGGCCATGCGAAAGCGTTGGAACAGTCACCATGAACGAGCTCTTGTACCCCGAGATCTGGCGACATCAGAGTCTGCATCCTTGATCGCGAAGCAAGCCGCGTCCGACGCTGTCTTCTGGAGCATGGTCGCCGTAGCCTACGCGGTATATCAATTTAAGAGCTGGTATCAAGGACGCGGAGAGGGAGCCGAAGAGGAGGAGGAGTAACTTGGGACAGATTGAGCCATTCTACGTGGCGTTTCGCATTCGCCAGACACCAGATGTTGCAGAATGTCGTAGCGGACAAGCCGTTGATAGAGAAGTAGGACTGATGGCAGGAAGGATGAGATCTAGTTCAATGCAGTTTGCGCCTCGCGACAACATGATAACTCTTCACCCTAGTGTCCGTGTGTACACAGTCGCGAACTGGCATCTCGGAAGATCAAAACTCAGTTGGTGGAACGAATTGCTGGTGCGGCCATTTCTTGAGTGCACAACGATGAAGAGAAGTCGAACTAGCACAGAGATGAGGGGAGGACGTACTGAATGGTTCACCCAGTATGTGACGGTGGTTGTGAGGAGTTCAGGAGTCGTCCGAGCCGGGATAGGGTGACCCACTAGCGCTGACTAACGATGATGCAGGCCAAGATCGGCGGCGGCGGCGGCGCGGCAAGCCTCACCTCCTTTCTCGCCAGCAACAGACGTGTCCATCATGCCACCAGATCGAACGCGCACCACCAACTCACAAGGTAGGCAGAAGTCATGCTCAGAATGCGCAAAGGCAAAACGCAAATGCGGTCTCGAGCAGCCCCATTGCGCACGATGCGCGAGGCAGCATTTGTCATGCGTCTACCCTTCACAGCCTCGGTCGCAGGCCGCGATCCCGCAAAACGATACGTCTGCAACTCCTACTGACTTGAGCTCATCCAATGTGCCAATGGAGATGCCAGAGATTGATGATGGTGGTCTCGGTTTCGACTTCGACCTACCTGGCATGCCAGCCAACCCCACCGCAGACATCTTAGATTTCGACTTCTGCACCGCAACGAACTCTCTCGATGCGCTTACGGACATGCTTAACACACCAGCCCATCAGGAAGATCAAATGACTGTACAAAAGTCGTATATCCCAGTGAGCCAGCCCTTCTCAGCAAGACACCTGTCACCCTTCGCAAAGTCCAGAGTGGAGTACTCAATCGAGCTTGTCAAGCTCGCCCCAAAGATGATGGTAGAGCGATGTTGTACACCATGGGCCCACCCTTTGCTTTACGAAGACTACATGCCAAGATCACTACAAGACGCACACGCGGCATGTGCCCTTTATGTTACCATGAACGACAACAATGCTGAGCACGTCGCACGATTCATCACAAGTCGCGCAGAAGAGCTCATATCCACTTCTATGCCGACTACGCCCGTCGAGGTTCTAGCTCGCACTCAGGCTCTGATGCTGTATGAGATCATGCTCATCTTTGGCGGTGACATACGACTATACGCTCGAGCCGACGCCCTGATACCGCATCTGGAAGATGTGGGTGCTGTCCTCCTACCCATCGCAGCAGAAGATCCCGAGCTTCCCGCCACCCTTCCACTATATCCCAGCACAGCCGCTCGCTCAGCATGGAAATCATACATCTTCCGTGAGTCAGCCAGACGCACGGCCTTGGTAGCTTTTCACATAACCGTCATATACACCCTGTTGAGCGGGCAGATGAGGTCTTGCGCTAAAGAGCTCTCTTTGAAGAACCGTGTCACGCTTTCTGCGCACCTGTGGAAAGCAACGAGCGCTTTTGACTTTGCCATGGCGTGGAACAGCAAGAGTCACTTTGTTATCAAGGAGCTGGACTTCACGGATGTCTTGAGGGGTGCGCAGCCTGATGACCTTGATTCGTTTGCTAACATGATGCTCATTGGTCTTCAAGGCATCGATGACGTACGGGGATGGTATCATACACAAGGGGGCACTCTGATGTAGCCTTCTACGGATCGGTGTCAGCGCGCCTAGACTGACTCATCTCACTGTCGTCCAATATCAACCAAGGGCCCATCCACTCCAAACTCCCAGTATCCAACAACTTCAAATGGGCAAAGCCACCTAGTTATTGTTGTCACCCAGGCCCTCCATAGTGGTCCCCGGAACCGGCGTCTTGTCACAGTCAGCGAAGCTCAAGAAAAGCACAATGTACAATGACTTACCTCGGGGAAGTTCCACCACCGATCCACGTTTTCAATGAACTCCTTGCCCTTCTGCTTGCCATACTCGATGATCCAAGCCTTTTCGGTGTTCGAAAGCGGGTGATGGCGCCAGGGACACTTGACACCCATCTCACAACGCTTCTTCGTAAGGTACGTGGTGAAGCAAAGCCCCAAGTCGTGGCGCTGCTCGGAGCCATACATGCCCGGTGCAATCTTGCCGTTGGCGCCGTTGACGAAGCGCTGGGACTTGGGCTTGGCGGCATACGTGGCGAAGATGCGGTAGTCGTAGCCGCGGAGGTCGTGCACTGTCGGCGGGAACTCCCCGTTCTCTGGATTCTGGAGGTGCGGTAATCCTAGCTTGGGCTCTCTGGCTGACTTTGCTATGCTGGGCGTTTGGCTGGGTCTGCGGTGCGTCGACTGAACTGGCGCATGCTGAGTGATTGTGGAAGGTGATTTGGGGACTTCCTGGCGGCGATAGGGCTCCTCATGCCTCGGATACTCAGGCTGTGGCATCTTCCGACCGGTACTCATTCTCACCGCGGGAGCGACGTGGGCCGTCTCTAAAGCGTCGTCGTCCCAGTCCACTTCGTCCTCGACGAAGTACTCTGGACGAGAAGGCGCCTCACTGAAGTGCTCCTGACGATGTTGCTGCGCATCTTGACCTTGGCCGTACGCTTGCTGGATGTGAGCTTCCAGTCGGCTGGTATCTCTCGTGCGACTGATTCGGAAGGCAGCATCGTGCCTGGGCGACCAGTGCCTATCGTCGTCGCGGTCACCGTATCGGCCAGCCATAGCCTTCGCCTCATCCGCAGCCACCTCAGCATCAGTCTTGATCTGGCCAACTCGAACCTTGCAAGCACGAGCAATATGTCCCTGCTCTCCACACCGAAAGCAACCCTTCTTATCGGTGAAGGCGGCTGGACAATCAGCAACCCTATGCCCTTCATAGTCTTAGCAAGGAAAAGTTGGGAATCTGCAGATATACAACCAACCTTTCTTGTTACAAGCAAAGCACCGTTGGCTCTCTGCTTTTTCCGGCTTCCGGTCCTCTCGCTGCGGCTCCACGTCCACAGTCTCCCGACGCAGCGGCGACCGCTCTCGATACCGGGCTCGCTCACCACGCCAATCTTGCTCATCTTGCGGATCTTGACGCCGGGCAGGCGAACGACTCCGCTCACGATCTCGCTGTCTCACTCGCAGTTCCTCTTCCGCCCGTGCGTAATCTCGTTTCCGTACAGCGAGCTGCGGACGGCGTCGACCTTGCATCCTCTCGCCATCGACATCGTCAATACCTCTACCCCGGTCTTCGTGTTCTCTGGGTCCCCTCGGTGGGGGCTCGGACGGAGGCGGTGGAGGGTTGTGTGGACCGTACGGACCTGGGAATGCTGCGCCGCGGTCTCGCATGTTGGGTTGCCGCGACATGTCTGCGAGAGTCAGTGTAGATGGTTACGTCAGGTCAGCGAAGATCAATTCAGAGGTATAAAGCTGGGTTCATTGTGGATGAAGTGGAGCTTCTGTCAGGTGGCAGTAGCAAGTCTACGTGACCGTGTATTGGCGCACGGGCCAGTCACGCAGTAACGCAGCGTAGTAACGGAGCGTAGCAGTGCGGGTCGGTTGTTATGTTGTGACGTCAGGCTGATTACATTATGGTTTCTGTGTCGCATGCAAGCTATGCTTTGGTGCTGTTGAGGCGAGTTGATGTGGATATGTACTGCGATGCGCTGGGAAAGGGTGACACGTTTGACCATATGATATAAGACGGGCACATGAATTGTAGGACCCAAGCTTTACGCAAGCTATAGATTAAAACATACTAGAGAGAAAGAAAGACGTCGAACCTTATCCTGCAGTCTACGCTGGCATTTCAATCGTTTCCCGCGTTCTTCACAGTTGAACGGCAGTCTACGTTGTATTCCGTCTTTGCATATTGGTCATCGTTGCTTGTCGCAGCACCTTCTCGGTTACTAGACACTCCTTTGATAATAGGTGGTAGTCATTACGAAGGAGTATGCAGAGTAGATAGCGATGTCGTTGGGAGGTACTTCATGTAAAGTCGGATTCTGATGTGATTTATGTCGAACGGCATCGACATTGAAATAGCTGCATCTGAAGTAGTGTGGAGTGCAAGTCAACATAAGGAAGTCAGCGTGTATCAAGGGTGAACTCAGATTCGCGGTTATCCTGAGGGTATCTCTAAGTGTGTGTGGACGCCAAGAGAGACATATTGGAGCGCCATGGATACAGAACTTATGGTTCATGTCAGCACTAATCGTGGCAACGTGGCACCACGCTCTCTCCGGAGTATGAACAATAACGAAATATCATTTCAGATCTCAATCGTGAGGTTAGACACCTCAATGAAGAGACCATCCCAAATCAACACAAATATAATAGAGTATCAAAACAACCTAGCCCACCTCATCTCAGCCTACAACCCCTCTCTGAACACACTCCTCCGACTCTCCGTCGGGCTGTTCTCCACGCTATCCACACTGCCCGCTTTCTTGTGCTTGCTCACACTGGGCATTGTCGCCGTAGCACCACCCCGATAACTCGTATCCGCATCGAGCACCGGCCTAGGACTCACGCCCCTCAGACTCGCCGCATTATCGTCGCCAAACGGATTCCTCCCACTCTGCGCATCGAGATGTTCATCGTAGGAATCGCGTGTGCGACTGCGTCCGCGACTTGGCTCGACATTGTTATACGGCGTAGGGTTGGCATACGGATTCGCAGTCTGCCCACCATGGGTAGACGCCGGTTCATGAAGCCCCAGTTCCTGCTCTTCATAGTATGCCTCGTCGCCCACGCGCGAACTCCACGCCTCGTCAGGATCAAGACGACTTCCCGCGCCGCGGCCCCCGCCGACGCCGCGCCCGCCGCTGTAGCCGGCGTCTTCGTAGCCGCTACCCGTTGTGTACCGGTTGTTTCTGTTTTTGAACTTGCGCACTTGGGTGTCGAACCAGCCCTTGATGCCGGTGGGCGCGGGGCCAGGGTAGTTTGAGGTTGCGCCAGCGTCAGAGGAGCGGCTGAAGGCTACCATTGGGTTCATGGAGGGTGGAGGTAGGCCATTGCGGGAGGCGTTCCACCGGGCGTAGAAGTACCAGCCGAAGTAGGAGAAGGAGAGCAGGAGGAGCAAGATGATGATGAAGACTAGCCAGCCGTTCATGGTGGCGGTGGTCGTGTGGGTTGCTGTGGGGAGGGCTTAGGGTCGCATGTGCGGTTTGCTGGTGGTGGGCGCGATTGCGCGGATCCGATGGGTTTGCTGTCGCTGATGCGTCCGGTCGTGTCGAAAAGGGCACGAGGCGATGGGCCTGATGGAGTCCCGACAGGCGTGGAATGCGACGTCGGCTGGCTGCGCCGCAATGTCAATTTGTTGGTGTAGCTGACAGGCGCGGCTGAGTTCCTCCAGCCCAGGCGGCTGCGTAGTATCGCCAAGTGATGACGTAACCCTTGCTAACGCCGCTGCCCGAATCTACAATTGTTTAAATTGACGGAGAAATCCCTTGCTATGTCAACAATAACAGGAAGTAATGGTCAACCCCTATCATTAAAATCTGTTCCGACGGCAAAGTTTCAGATTGATGCGTGCTTTTCGTCTCACCACGAGGCCGTTATTGAACATGACGCACGCGGACTAGCGCCGACCGCGACGAAAAATGGGGCAGGTGGGATTGCGCGATTGGGCAGCCAGCCTATCACGCCTATCTCCACTCCATGGAGTGGGTGACATGGCATCTCGTGGGAACTGGACGTTTGTCACTCGGATCAACTTCCGGTCATAATTCAACGATCATCGTCTTACTCATTTGCAATCGCACGCACTACAGTAAAAAGTCCGGCCGAGTCATTGTTTACGATTGTACACTAGGCTGCCATCATGAACAGATCTGGCGGGGACGATCAGCATCGCAAGATCGTGTTCACGAGTCAAAGCGTCTATGGCGAGAGAGAGGCTGTTTTAACATTACAAGAGCACAAAGATCCTACGAGGCCACCTTTCTTGATCAGTTTATCAAAAAGACCTCAACCTGGCGATAAACAACCACCGTTCTCCCCACCCGAAAAGCGCGAGACTCATGTTATCATCTCGAGTGGCTCAGGTCATGGACTCGCGGATGAGTTCTACTCCAGCGCCGTCCGCCCGATCCTTGAAAGCATACATGGACACAGAGGCATGGAAGAGTTGGAAGTACACACCACGGAATCGCCAACAAGCATCCTGGAACTCACCGACGCCGTCCTGTTTCCAGCCGCCAATCAAGGAAAACCAATCCGCATCATCCTCCTCTCAGGCGACGGCGGCATCGTAGACCTCGTAAATGGTCTCTCATCCAAAACACCAAATCCACAGACCTACATTTCTCCCCAAGTCGTGGTCCTACCTCTAGGAACCGCAAACGCGCTCTACCACTCCATCAACGCCGGAGGATACGACGCATGGGGTCTCCCCGCCCTGACATCATGGAAAGCAAAGCCCCTTCCCACATTCATCGCGACCTTTTCCCCCGGCGCCCGCCTCCTCGTCGACGAAGGCCGACAAGAGCAAGAACTACCGAAAGACGCGCAGGGCAACGGCATCCTCCACGGCGCCGTCGTAGCATCCTGGGGCATGCACGCCTCCCTCGTCGGCGACAGCGACACAACCGATTACCGCAAATACGGCGTCGAGCGCTTCAAAATGGCTGCGAAAGAAGCTTTGTATCCTGCTGATGGCTCACCACCACATCCGTACATAGGCAAGGTCTCTGTTTTGAAAGAAGGAGATCAGTGGACTACGTTACCGGAGGAAGAACACATGTACATCCTCGCAACCATGGTCTCGCATCTCGAGAAACCCTTTTGCATCTCCCCTGCTACCAAACCGCTAGACGGGAGTATGCATCTTGTTCATTTCACCCCGAGGAGTGGCGATGAGGTCATGGGTATTATGAATAAAGCGTACGATGGGGGTAAGCATGTTGGTGATGGGGATGTGAGGTATGAAAGTATTGATGGGTTGAGGATTGAGTTCGAGGGGAAGGAGGAGGACGGGAGGTGGAGGAGGATATGTGTTGATGGGAAGATTGTAAGGTTGGAGAAGGATGGGTGGGTTGAGGTTAGGAGGGTGAAGGATGGGGGTGGGAAGGGGGTGTTGGATGTTGTTGTGGTTTAGGGTGGTGTTGTTGCGATTGAGAGGCGATCTCGAGTTCTGGCTACGGTCGCTATCATTTGATCAGAGGCCTTAGTCGTATTTTGTGTCGCTTGACCTGTGAGGATGGATGTATGGTGTACAGACTACGAACGAATGGCTGGGAGAGCGCGTAGCAGTCTCTTGTCTTTTGCATTTTGACTTGAGATACTTCGTACCAGACTTACTGCTGCCTGCGCAACTGCGATGTAGCTATAAAGCAACTTCCTGGTAGCACAGACACATCTGAAGTGCTTTTAACTATATTTCTACATTACAAAGATAGAACAGCCTACATACTTAGATGTTAAAGCTAGAATAGACGTAGTAGTAGTATAAGACCTACGAGACCTCTTCTTAGTGAGCACCGCTCACACAAACCCGCCCGTTCCCCTTTACTTATCAGCCCTCCCGACTGCGCTCACTTTACTATCGCCGGCAACAGCGCGACCCCATACCCGGACCCATACCCTCACTCCAAATCCACATGCATCTATCCATCAGTCCCTACTCATGTATTTATATTTTCCAATTTCTAGAACTATCCATCAAACGCGACTGCGGCCGCAGAGGAGTTAGATCCCCCCGCCGCCTCCCCTTCATCGGGCCCCCCGCAATTATCTCCCCTTCACTGGGCCCCCCGTCAAGAAAACAGCCGTGCTCGAAACTCTGGTCGTTCCTCACTTTTTTTGCCGTTTTTTTAGATTTGGTCTGCAGGTGAACGAACAGTGTCGCCACGCTTTACCCCGCCCTTCACTCACGTCGCTCTTCTTGCCTTGCTGCACGTCGACGACCCTCGGCTTCTACTTGGGTTATCCATTCTTGCGGAAGATTCAATGTGCTTCCGACTATCCCTTTCTGCTCTCTCTCTGTCAACATGCGCCTGCTGATATAGAGGAAGTGCGCCTTGAACGCGTGCCATAGTTCGATATCAGCATGTGTATGGCCGTAGGCATAAGGACGAGGGAAGTACGGATCGTTTCGCCAGAAGGCGTGAACTGCTTGCGCGATACCAGTTGCGTCTTGACTCATATGACGTACGCAGTCGTAGTCCAGCATCCAGATGACGAGCTCTTCATCCAGCAACTTGAACATTTGTGTTGGCGCGTCGCCGCTGATAGATGATGTAGCTGGGGCAAGCACAAACTCAACATCATTCGCATCGACTTCAGCTTTCCAATAGCAATGCGCGAGCGCCTCCGCCAGTGTCTTCGCAATGACAACAGCATTCATACCCAGCTCTTCCATTTGA